CGATTAGTGGATGGTGTGCGGTGATGCGACGCAACAGTCTATCGATGAAGGCATTGCGGGACGTGATATTCAACGGGTTGCATTTGGGACCCAATTACAAGTTTGCTCAAATCTACTTGCGTATCGGAACAAATGATGTGAAGGGCCTGTGCACCTTCAAGTATTATGACGTCCGTTTTCCAACTTTTGAAGCCTTTTACAAAGAATATGAACAGTTCATGGGAAATCTCGTAAAGGCCTTCGCTTGCAACGTGTTTGCTTTGGGAGCAGCTCCGCCTTCTGCATCACCATTATTGGAGACACCTACAAGTGTGGCGTTGGATGCTGACCAAAATGGCTTACCATTAGTACCTTTGAGGTGCTTGGATAATGTTGACCTTGTGGAAGAAGAAGATAGGGAGAGAGCTGGTCGCATTTATCTAAACGAAATTTACAGGCGATTAGCAGGTATTGATGGGGTCATGAACGTTGTTGATGCGGAAAGAAATCTGGGATGGATCGCTCTGCCTACACCCATTGACGGGCTGAGGGCGTATAGCAGTGGACGTGGAAAATTAACAGATTTTGGGCACATTACACCTTCTGGTTACCTGATTTTCGCGAAGTATCACTGCATTTCCATGTGGCGTGGGATTCGAATGTTACCAGGCTATGAAAAGGTAGTGGGACGAATCTGCTCAGGCCAATACCCTAGATGGCTTGATGATGGAACAGTGGCAGTGGGTGTTGTTCCTGATAACCTGCACGTGCATAGTGGATCCTTTGGACCGGTTTCAGACTGCGTTGGACCATTAGTTCCCACCGGAAATATGTAAGTTGAAACTCCAATTTTATGAATTTTTTGACGTGGGCAGGAGATCTGATAATTAACAAGGTACCACAGTATAGAGAAAAAGAAAAGAAAGGAAATGTAAATAGAAGACTAACATATTGTTTGTGATTTAATTTGTTTTAGTGATCTTGCCAAGTTACGAAAGTTCGACTTTGACGAATGCTTCCTGACTGACGCTGCTACAAGTAACGCTCGGAGTCGATCAAAAATTGAAGTTGGGGACATAGTGCGAATTCGAAATGTGAAGGGGACCAGAATCGTCGTATCTCGAACTCCTACTGGTTTTTGGACGGTTGGTTTTGGTGGTCAACTGTACGTAGAGTCAAGTGATGTTGTACTTGCTTCTGAAACTGTTTGTTTGATGGGTGATGAGTAGGGGGTGTGAATGTGACTATGATGTACGTACGTGCGCGGCTTATACGAACTGATTGCGTTGTGATTGTGTCTTTTTTCGATTGTGAGGGGATGAAATGATCTGGGAGACGATGAAAGGGGTTTTTTTTTTTTTTTGTGTTTAAACTTGTTTTACATTTGCCGGATATCAAAGGTCAAAGTCGTACGTTCGAAACGGGTATTCTCTCTTTTTGCGATGGTCTCTGTTATAAACATGACGTTTTACTGCTTTCAATTTGTCTTTGATTCCAATAGGGTGATTAGACTTGCCTTGGCATTGACGTATTTCTCTGACTGATCAACTTCCATTTCCATCGGAATGAGATTTTGAATAGATTGATTTGGGAGTATCTGATTGACACATGTTCCATCATCATTTGTGTGTGTGATAACGACATCAACTGATCGAATTAGTCCATCACGGGGACTCGTATTTACTTTGTGGATTCTGCATAAACGCCATCTCAGTCGATCCAGGGGTGAGTTTTGCTTAAATGAATGATTAATAAGTAAAACAAGTTGATCTTCTTTTGGGACAAGAGGAGAATTTTTTATTTTGTAAGGGTATTTGCGCAAGGATTTGACATAGGAGTTGAAAAACGTACGCCATATTTTTTCAACGACTTTGATGCGGTACAAGGTTTGATTGGTATATTCGCCCTTATCATTTGTTTCAAGAAATTCCAAAGCCCTTGGTCCATAGTGTAAGGAGTTACTATTCCAATCAGCTAGGTGAGGATGTAAAAACATGGCAGGGGTGATGATTAATGGTGACTCTCTATCGTCAGATATATACGTTAATGGTCTTGAGTTAATTGTGTTCTCTACCCATGAGATTGCGGCTAAAAGTGTATTGTCGTTACTAAATGGTACACCTTTAAATGATCTAGCAAGGGAATCTTTAATGACTCTCATTAAACGTTCGTAAAACCCACCCCACCATGGGGCTCTGGCGGCATTGAAGTACCATTTCACTTTTTTGAATTTGTTTTTAATCTGTGTTTTGTGTGACTGTAAAAATTTCGGCCAAGCACTACGAAACGTGGCTGCGTTGTCAGAAATAACCTTCTCTGGCGTAATGTGACGTCTGTGACAGAATGTTTCGAATGCCCCTATAAAAGATTCTAGTGATACATCTTTTACGGGTTCTATATGAACGGCTCTAGTTAAGGTACATGAAAAGACACACAGAGATATTTTCTTAGGGGGTATGGGTTGTATTACTTTGGTACCTTTTTGGCGTATCTTATTTTTCTGTTTTGCGTTATGTACATTTCGATTGGATTTGTCAAAGTTCAGTGTTTCAAGAGGTCCTACGAAATCAATTCCTATTTTCTGAAATGGTGTTCTTCCGGCATATCGAAAATCAGGTAATGGTGCTATTGGTACTTGAAAAGGTTTGCCATCAAATCTTCTGCAGTGAAAGCATTCACGTCGTACTTGTTTAGCAATTTTCCGGCTTCCTGGAGCCCAATATGTTTCTGATAAAATTGTTAGAATTCGATTTACAGAACAATGACCGTTTTCCCGATGTATGGATGTTAACAGAGACTTCATTAAATTAGGTTTTTGTCCTTTTTTTGGCATTGGTAGATAGATAAGTGTTTGTCTGACTGGATCATCCTCTGGTACTTCAGTTTGAAAATCAATACTTTGTCTACTCCTAGAAACAATATATCCGTTGTGTTTGTCCCAGTCTAAGTCAGGTTTTTCGATGATTCGGTTACCCTTTTTTAGTACTTTCCACTCGTGATAAGCATAACTTTTTTGTATAAGACGTATTGCTGACTTTTCTGCTATGTGATTTTCAAGGATTGAAAAGTCTTCTTTCAGTGGTTGAAAATTGATTCTCATTCGTTTTTGTCTATCTTTACGGTGTTTAAAGAAACCCGCTGCTATTAATATTGGCATGAACAGGATAAACCTTTGCCATGCGGCTATGCGTTTAATAAGTTGGTTCCAAAGAAAAAGACCATTGAACATTTTTGTCATTGTTTTAATTTCTTTTAAAATCTCAATTTCTTTGTCAATGACATCTACTTTCGTTGTTGCGTGAACACGGACTCTCTGTTTAGGCCACTTTTCAGGAAATGGTAGCCAATCTGGCCCATTTTTCCATAGTTTATCATTTAGTATTTGGTCAACGCTACATCCCCTGGAGGCAACATCTGCTGGATTGTCTATACCTGGTACATGATGCCAATCTTCTTTATTTGTTTCCTTCAATATGGTGTTTACACGAGAATATATGAAAGTTGGTTTACTCATACTGTTCGAGTATATCCAGTCTAACGTTACTTGAGAATCTGTCCACATACGTACTTTGCAAGTGTATATATTTTGTGCTTTCCTAGTGATGCGTAGTAGTTCCACTGCGAGGCATGCAGCTGTAAGTTCCAAACGATTTATTTTTAATGTTTCATTTTTTTCTTTTTGTAAGGTTGTTTTCTGTTTTTTAGATTTCTTTACTCGTTTGTCTTTTGCTTCTTTTTTCTGTTCGTTACAGGGTGCTAGTCTCGATTTTCCCCACACCAACGTTGATTTAATTGTATTTTCACTATATGATACGTAATATACTACTGCTGCGATTGCATTTTGGGACGCATCAGAGAATACATGAAATTCTCCTTTAATTTCGTTTTCCGCAATTACATTTCTGGGTATTTTCAAGGTTGTAGCCTTGATGGCGTCTCTAGCTATTTGCTGAAATGTTTCACTTTCTTCTTGTGTGAGCTTTGAATTCCAGCTTATGTTCGGATTCCTCTGCAGATATTCCCGCATTTTTAATTTGCATTGTGTTTGAAAGGGAGTTGCAAACCCAAGTATGTCAAATAATTTAGCTAAGATAGCTGCTGCCTGTCTGCGACTTAGTAGTTTGAATTTTTCAAAGTTCATTGATGCATCTATTGTAGCTGCTAGTGTGTCGTCATTGGGATCGTATCTTATTCCTAGTATTTTATATGCTTCTTTGAGTTCATTTTCCTTTTCTGATGTTCTTATTTTGGTTAGTATGAATCCTCCTTTTGATAGAGCGTTTACTGTTTTTTGTATTTTTTCTTTAACTTCATTAACATTTTGTCCGGTTACTATTACATCATCGACATATGTGTTCTGCGATAATTCGTTTTCTTCATTTTCATTTATGTGTTTTTCTTGGCATGCTTTCTTGTTTTTTGTATTTTTTCTTTTACTTCATTAACGTTTTGTCCGGTTACTATTACATCATCGACATATGTGTTCTGTGATAATTCGTTTTCTTCGTTCTCAGTTATGTGTTTTTCTTGGTATGCTTTCTTGTACATGTAACGAACGCAAGCATTTAGTATGAACGGGGCACAATTGATTCCCCATGGTAGTCTTAAGAAACGAAAGAATCTTGGTATATATGACCCATTACTTTGTTTTTCAGGCCATCTTGTTATTAGTAGCCACTGATCCTCTTCTTTGAGTTGTACTTGTACGAATGCTTTCTTTATATCTGCAATTCCGAAATGTTTTGCGAAACGTAAACGTATAAGTATATCGATGAGATCAGGTAATATTTTTGGTCCTGTCTCTAGTAAATCGTTGCATGATGCTCTACCAATGTCTGCGGCATTACCGGCTATGACTACTCGTAGAGGTGTTGAAGCACTGTGCGGTCTTTCTACACCGTGGTGCGGGAGTTCCGTATAGGGTGTATTTCTAGCTTGTAATTCGTCAAGCGTTACTGGTGTTATTACATTTGTGTCTTTCCAATCTTGAATGAATTTTTCGTATTCCTCTGCGAGTCTTCCTCCTCGTTCAAGTAATTTTATTACAGATCTGCTTCTTTGCTTGCCCATTTTTAAGTTTGGATTCCAAATTTCCGAAAAATTATGCCTTTTTGGCAAAGGTGCTGTTACTCGTCCATCAATCACTTCTATTTTTGTCATGTATTCATCTACATACTGTTTGTCGCTTAGTGTGTTTTCTCTCTCTCCTAAGAACAGTAGTGCATCTTGTTCCATATGTCGTAATATCTTTGCATTTAGCACTTCATCTTCAATATTTTCTGCTGTATTGTAAAGGAATGTATGAAATCGATTTGTTTTTGGTGCTTTGTATGTAGCTGCGTATATACCTCGTGGTACGGTTCCTAAATTCGAATTGAGTAGTTGAAAATTCTCGGTGCGATATGACTCTCGTGATGGAGTATTGAATATGTCAATGAGTTCTTTGCCCCCCAGGATGAGATCAAAGGATATGTGATTTGTGTGTATGATTCTCGAATCCGCCATTGTTTTTTCTTGATATGTAAAGTCTGATAGTATACATGGGTTTCTTCCTGTCCATGATGATTTTATTGGGGCTATGATTGCATCTGTAGTTATTGTAAAATCCGAATTTAATTTTGATTTCATTTGTAGTGTAACTATTTCTGTTGAGTGCATACTATTACCCGAATTGTTTACTCCTATGATTTCAAATGTTCTTCGTGATTTCTTTTTCTGTAAACCGAGTGTTTCTACCAGTTGGTTTGAAATTAAATTAACTTGTGCTCCTGA